TTTAGGGCTTAGGGTTTGGGGTTTGGCGTTTGGGGTTGAGGGTTTGGGGTTTGGCATTTGGGGTTTAGGGTTTAGGGCTTAGGGCTTAGGGTTGAAGGTTCAGCAGCCCCGGATCGAGTAGTCTCCAGTCGAGCTCGCTAGTTCGATCCTAGGCAAGATCCCCACCCACCCAGGAACCCTCACTTGTTTTTATTTAAATCCTAGAGCTTACATCCTAAACCCTAAACCCCAAACCCCTAAACCCCTAAACCCCTAAACCCCTAAACCCCCAAACCCTAAACCCTAAACACCTACATCCCGAACCCTAGAGTGTAAGCTTCACACCCAAATCGCCAGCATATCCCCTCAAAACCCTATGATACGAACCCAAGGCCCTGAACCCCAAGCCTTGAACCCGAGGCCCTAAACCCTCAACCCTAAGCCGTGAATAAAGCCTTACATCAACTATTAAACCCTAAACCCTGAACCTTAAACCCCAAACCCTGAACCCTGAACGCTAAACCCTAAACCCTAAACCCTGAACCCTAAACCCTAAACCCCAAACCCTGAACCCTAAACCCTAAACCCTTTAAAAGGGGAAACGCGTAGATCCGTCGGGCATGGGGAAATTGGAAGTCCGACGCGCCCTCCAGGAAAGAGCCCGGGGTTTAGGGTTTTTAAGGCTTAGGGTTTAGGGCCCAACCTGCATATTGGGGTCTAGGGTTTAGGGCTTCACCTCTCAATGATGCCGGCCCCTCGGTTTGAGGGCTCAGAAAGTAGGAGTCCCCGATGCAGACCCTAAGTAGCAGAGTCTGAATCAAAAAAGCCCGAAACCCCCCAGACCTAAACCCTAAACCCTAATAAAAAAAAGCCGAAGCTCTTGCCGCCGGGAAAAACACCCTAAAACCCCTGAACCCTAAACACTGAATCCTGAAGGAAAGCTCTCAGCACGTTCAAGAAGGATGCAAGCTGGGGCCTACGCTGCACCCTCGGTGCTAACATGAAGCATACAGTATCTGCGGATCGAAGGTCTATGAAATCCTTCCTATTCAACCCGCCAGCGCTGCTCACATACGGACCCACGTAAACCATTTTAATCCTTAAACCTCCATGACTATAAAATCATAATCTACCCCCGAACGACAAAACGTAAACCCTAAACCCTTAGCTTAAACACCCCCAAATCCCAAACCTCCGATAGCAATCTCTCTTCGCCTTCTCGTAACCCTTCTCCGGGTCCGACTGGATCAGAAAGCCTCTGAGAGCGACAGGCAAATGCCCTTGATATTAAGAGCTAAGACGGTTGGGGTTCAGGGTTTGGGATTTCGGTGTTTGGGGTTCAGGGTTGGGGATAGGGCTTATTCAGGGTCTAGGACTCAGGATCTCGCCTGGGGGTTACAGGTTTAGGGTCTAGTCTGGGGTAGGGTTTAGGGTTTAGGGTTGTCCCCAACCCACGGGGTATGCGGATGACGAGCACCTACGTGTCGTGGGCAGCAGCCGTACAGCGTGAGGCCTCTGCGCACCCTGTATTCAGAGACCCCTATGTTAAACCAGGAATCCGGGTACAGCTCTTGACACAATCCTGTAATTAATGCCCTGCGAAGGGATACAAAACCGTTGTACGACCCTTATCAAAAAAACCTTGTGGGTAGTTCTCTAAATTAGTGTCCCTTTTGGGTCCCCAATATGGTACGGCACCCTTATAAAAGGGACCCTAGAAGGGACCCTAATTTAGAGAACTACTATTGTAAAGACGCTTGAGCTGCAGAACCCCCAACCTCGCCATTTTTCGGGGCATCCTTCTCTCGTCGGCGCAAAGAATGGCAAGATTGACAACAATGAGTACTTAGGGTTTCAGGGTTTCGGGTTTAGGTTTTAGGGTTTAGGGTTTAGGGTTTAGGGTCTAGGGTTTAGGGTTTAGGTTTCAGGGCTGAGTGGAGGAATGAAGGCAGTAAGCCCAAGGATTGGGATCTTGATCATTGAAACAGCAAAAATATGCGTACTCTTGTCTCAAATTTCAAATTGAATCGCAAGCAACAGTGCTTGACTAGGTCGCCAGTGGTACCCTTTCTCTACCGTCTAGGCTGCTTGGCAAAATCCAGCACCAAAAGCGGTGCAAGGGCTGAAAGGGTATCACTGGGCTTCCTTGCAGAGATGCAGTGACAGCCAAAAGGTCTGGCTTTGGGGGAGGAGCATCGGCAGGATCTCTGTCGAGAGGATGTCCCATCTTCGCTCCAGCTTATATAGAAGCTGCCGTCCTTGTCGTAGCCCTAAGGGTTTAGTGTTTGGGATTCCAACTGAGGGCATGTGGATTCTTAGTAGTATAGGGGCCTCAATAATTAGAACATGGTCTTGGGCTTCTTTATGGTTTACTTATAGCAAGGAACCCCCTGAAATAGTACTGGTAACTATTTAGGCCGCTATACTCCACCCTCTAGAAACCCTCTAGAAACCCTTTTGAAACCCTCTAAAAAACTTTCTAGAAACCCTCTTGGAACTGTGCAGAGACTAAACCCTAAACCCTAAACCCTAAACCCAGTATCGACACCGAGCCGATTGGGACTGCTGTCAACAGGATCCTCGAGTCTACACCGGCTCTCCCAAAAGGAAGCCAGCCGAATTAGAGAGCTGCTGCGGCGTGCACACACTCCGTGAGCCCAATGCCACTTAATTAAGGAATATGATATAGCTTAAATCTTAAGATGACGCCGTTTATAACTTACGCTATATTGCTTAGTTAAGCTGTATTGGGCTCTCTGGGTACGGCTTTCGGTTTGAGGATCTTAGCGGCATTTGGTAGCTCGGAGCTTTCCCGATCTCGATCCTGCTGAGAATTCTGGCCCCAGCCCCGCAACCCTAAACCTCAGATGCCTAAACCCTAAACCCCAAACCGATGATCTTTTCGCGTCTGCTGAACTGTCCCTAGGAAACACTACACCTTCAAAGCGACTACCTGGCCCGAAAGTTTGTAATACTCGAAGGGTTTAGGGTTCATGGTTTAGGGTTCAGGGTTCACGGTTTAGGGTTTAGGGACTAGGCTGAGAAGGAGTGAGATGAAAATGGATGCGACAATGACACGGGAGTTTCAGAAAATATAGGAATTTTATACAGCCCCGAAATAGAAGGGTTCCTGTTTGAACCCTAATTCCCTGAAACCAAAACCCCTGAACCCTAAACCCAAGGACACCTTCCAAACCGGACTCGAAAATGTCTGAAACTCCCACGTAGCAAACTCTTTCGCATGACAGGGCGGAAGCGTCGGGGAGAGTCTGCGGGCGAAGAGTCTGTCGGCAGTCACGGGGGTCCATCTTCGAAGCCCCAAACCCCAATCCTAGATGTGCTGACGCCCTAAATCCTAAATTTTAAACCCTAAACCTAATTCCTAAACTCTAAACCCTAAACCCTAATTAAACTCTAAACCCTAAACCCTAATTAAACTCTAAACCCTAAACCCTAAACCCTACGACTGCCCTAATAATTGGTATGAAGATCCCTCGGGCAGGGTTTCTTCTGATTCCTCGGGCTTCTATATTCATCCCCGAGATGCTCTAGGATCCTTGTCCCAGACCCCAGGAGCATCCAAAAAGTAGATCCCCTTAAGGGAGTTCCTATAAAGTACCCTTTGGTAGTTAGGGTCCCAAAATAGGGGTTCTACTTTTCAGATCCTCCCGGGGGGTTGGGTAAATGGGCCTCCAGTTAAGAGGTCAGGGGGGTCTCTAGGCTTGGAAGCTCCGAATCCGACCGCCAGTAGCTGGTGGCAACACTGGCTTTTTGAGAGTTCAGGCTTTAGGGTTTAGGGTTGAAGGGCTTTTGTTGAAGACACCATCCTATTCTTGCATGCCAACCACCAATCCCAGTCCTCAAGCCTACAACACAGTCTGAGTGTGCCCACGCCGGCACCTAACACACTCAATGACTCTATGATACAGCTGCTACAGAAAGTTGTGAGAATAGGAAGGACGATCGGGTCGAACATGGAAACCCCTAAACCCTAAACCCTAAACCCAAAAAAACATCTGTTTATGCTCATACCACCCCGCGGCCATGATCCACCCCATCTTCTTTCCTCCGAAGTAGATAAGGGAAGGCTCAACCGGAAGCATGGAAGCCTCGGAAGGCTCAAAAATGCCCCAACCCCAACAAAAAAATGCTTTTTTAAAAAAAAATATATATATATATATATATATATATATATATGTATATATATATATATATACAAAACCTGGGAAAGCATGGCCCTAGAGATGTCTCAGGATTAGGGGTGTAACTAACGGTGGATGTGTGTGCGATTGGCTGCATTCTTGTAGCTAAGGATTTGAAAACATCGCAGGGCTCGAAGATACTTACCTCACAGTTCATGAAGTCCTAAGCCGCCTCAAACAAGAGGAGATTGAGACGAAGAACTGCTCATCCAGAAGCAAACGAACCTCGCTAGTCTCGCCCCACTAGTGATAACAAACGGCAGACGGCTAACGCGGAATCAAAATGATCCTCTGGTTTGGCTTTTAGGTGTCTTTCACAAGAACACGTGCAAAAAGGAGGTGAGCACAGCTGAAAATGACAAAACGGCACAATAGCCGATATTTCGCAAACCTCGCAGAAAGTATGAAGATGCAGAAAACTATGGACAAACAGTTGGCAAGAAGGGTCTGGCGGATTTCAGGGGAGTGACCATGCTTGCATACAGTTTTGTATGTGTACATACTTGATCCAACCTGCTGGTATGTGTATATGCAAAAACATCGCTATTGACATATGCAACGGATAAAACCCTTACCAAAATTCGAAGGACCGATGGCCCTAACAGAACCTACTGCCTCTGCTTGGCTTCTGCGTGGCTGCTCGGCCCGCTCTCCTCGCCTCGCTTCAGAGATCCCTGAGCAAAAGAAAGCTTCACGCCCTGATGAAACGAAAGACCTGAGGTGGTGCCACAATGAAGATGCGCACACACCCTCAACCTCCAACCCTAATCGTGTCAAGAAGCCTGGAAGGACACGAACTGCATCAGCCCTAAACTCCAAACACCTAAACCCTAAACCCCAAACCCCAAACCCTAAACCCTAAACCCTAGACCCTAAACCCTAAACCCTAAACCCCAACGTTCAGGACTGCAGAGGCTGACCAGAAGATAGGGTTTAGGGTGTGGGGTTTGGGGTTTAGGGTAACACACCAGAAGACCCAAAACGGCAGAAGGATCCTGCGCTACCATGAAAACGGCACCCGGCAAGGGGTTTAGGGTTGGGGTTGAGGGTTTAGGGGTTTTGGGTTTAGGGTTTAGGGCTTAGGGTTTAGAAGGCACCCGGCAAGCGGTTTAGGGTTTAGGGTCTCTTCAACATCAGCAACCCCCACGCCGTGCATCCTCTTCATGATCCTCATGTCTAGGTAGGAAGCATGTGGTCTGTGTCACGATGGCAGATGATCTTGAGTTGTGAAAAACAAACACTGCTGAGAATGCCCTGTTCTAAAGGTTATAGAACAACCCGATGTGGCCGCCCCCAGAGGTTTAAATCCCGACCCCTACACCGCGCTCAGCACCTTTCGAGGTTTGCAACACCTCAGAGGGAGTAGTGAGGCAATGGGATCCCACTTTAGGATCCGGGTCCAAGGTTTTGTCGAGGGTTTAAAGTTTAGGATTTAGGGTGCTGGGAGTCGGTGCATCAAGCCTAGAAGAAGCATGCATGTTCACAACTCCCTGCCTGTCGAACGCATATGACGGGGTCGAAGCCACTCTGGCGGCTGCACACGCTCTGTCCTGGTCTGCTCTGACAGATTTACAGGGCTTAGGGACGGTAATAGAGGGGCCTTACTAATCAGAATAGAGTTTTGGGGGGGTGCATTGTACTGTTTGATAAGGAACTCACAAAATAGTCGTGATGGTACTTAGCTAGAACCCCTATGTTCGACCCTAAAGTCCGAGAGCGAAACAACGAAAACTGAGAAAAAAAAAGGGCGCCCTCAAAAAGACGACCGAGTATCTGCAGGGGGAAGGGCATAGGCTTCCCATTTTCCAGCAGAAAGGGCTTCATGCCCTCGGGCACGTCGGGATGTAGGATGGGGCTGTTCTTGTACCTGTTCAAAAGATCTTGTAAGCTCCTCATGCGAAGATTCGGATGCACCACCAGGGCCTTGGGAGGGCTGTCTGCGGAACCCAGGGCTCCAGGCAAATGCAGGTGCATGCCATGGAACTTGCGTTGGAAATCCATGGCAGCCGCTGGCGTATGGAAATTGATGAATGCATAGCCCAGAGAGAGACCGTCCTTGAACCGTGCAGGGAGGTAGATGAAGTCGGCTGTTTCAAAGCACCCGTGCACGTCTAGCAAGCTGCAAAGACTCATGCGGTTCAAGTCCTTCGGAAGGTTCCGGAGCACCATCGAGGTCTGCTCCAACGCCTCCCCCGCAGTGGTCTCTGCCTGAGCACATCCGATTCTGGCCTCCGTGGCCTCTTCCCCCACAGGAGATCTACGGCTCTCTTCAACGGTGGTCGCGTTCGAGATGCGCTGGAGCTCCAGATCTCTTCCGTAGATCTCTGCGATTTCCGCGGCCAGCGCATTCGTGAGCTGAGGCGAGGCTCCGAGCGATCTCCGATCAGGGGGATGAGAGGAAGCTCTCGTCGTCTTTGTCTCAGCGTCGACAGCACTCAGGTGTAGGAATGAATTCTTCAATCCGAGGATGGATAACACACCACCTTCCTCGGTGCGGCCACCTGTAGCCATGTGCCACAAGGCCTGAGCATACACAGAGCGACTGTCAGTCTGGTGCATCGAATTCACACGAAAGGGGGCTGACCCGCCTGTAGCTATTCGTAGCCAAGGCCCTCACCGCCTCGGCTTAGATTGAGTTGAGAAATGGCTTCTGTGCGAGAGAGGCATGAGTCAAGAGGGATGCACCACAAACCCACAAGGCTACTCAGGGCTGCTACCGTAAGGCACCTACGTGGCACACAATTACAGCACTCAACACTCACAACCCGAAAATCATCACCGTCATCAGCTCGTGCGCAATCGGAACCCTAAACCTCAACCCTAACCAACCCGAATCCCGAAACCCGGACGCCTCAAACCCCTAAGCCCTACACCCGAAACCCCAAGAACCCGAGAAGGCTTAAACCCTAAACCCTAAACCCTAAACCCAAAGGCTTAAACCTAAACCCTTAACCCAAAGGCTCAAAAACCCGAAACCCTCTCAGAACCTGGCGGGCTTTTCAAGAAAAAAAACCTCTGGGGGCTCAAGTTTAGGGTCTTGGGTTGATAGGAGGATTCAGAATTTAGGCGGGTTCAGGGTTTAGGGTTTCCGGCTCAGGGCTTTGGGTTTCCGGTTCAGGGCTTAGGGTTTAGGTTACAGCCTTCAAGGGTTCAGGTCGAGGGCTGGTATTCTCCCCTCCTACTAGACGCGGTTGTACTACACACGCCCTATGAGATATCCTACAAGCCCCAAAAAGAACCTCTAAACTCCATACCTTCGAAAAACCCTACAAGCCCCCATCCTAAGCTACATCTAACACCCCTCCCCCGGCCTGCCAGCCCGCAGAAGTGCTTCATTAAGGACTGACGTACGAGCACCTGCGAGAGTTGCTTCGATGTCGACGCTTTCGACACGGTTTGGGGTTCAGGGTTTAGGATTTTAGGGTTTAGGGTGACCCCAAAAATCCAAGCTTTCGGTGCGAAAACCTTAAACCCTAGAATTACTATTCTCCTAGACTTCTCGAAATCAGCAGATCTCTAAAAATTAAACCCGCGGAGCACACGGGCCGCAAGCCAACCCAGAAGACCTACTTATGACAGGGTTTTCCATGACTGCACCGTACTGTACATATGACATTACATCTGATAGTGACTATAAGGGACCAATCATACTAGCAGTTTAGGCATCTGTATCAAGGAATTCCATGACAAGCAATACCCTGGCCTTCGACAGGGCTTGCCTGAACCAAATGCCTCAATCCCAACAAAGCAGACACCGGCTGCAGTCATAGAAAAGTTGTCTTCGCAAGCGCAGGGTCCAAGCAAAAAGCCTCGCAGCACCGACCGTTCAGTGATAGAATACAAACAGCAAAACTAACTAACCCAAACCTCTAAACCCTGAATCCTAGACCCTAAACCGAGCAGCAAGGGGGTGCAACAAAACTTACAAAGTTCTCGGAGAGACCCTAAACCCTCAACCCTAAACCCTAAACCCTAACTAAACCCTAAACCCCAAGCTTGGAGCTCATGGCTTAGGAACCCTGAAGGGCTGCTTTTAAGGATTACTTATAGGGTGAGTATAGAGGTTCGAGGTCAACCCTAAACCCGAAACCCTAAACCCTAAACCTTGAGCCCTAAACCTTGAGCCCTAAAGCCTAAACCCTGAACCTTGAACCCTAAACCCTAAACCCTGAAAACCCTAAACCCTGAACCCTAAACCCTGAACCCTGAACCCTAAACCCGAAACCCGAAACCCTGAAACCTAAACCCCGAAACCCTGAAACCTAAACCCCGAACCCTAAACCCTAAACCCTAAACCCTAAACCCTAAACCCTAAAATCCTAAAACCCTAAACCCGAAACCCGAAACCCTGAAACCTA